CCATGATGGTCAAGCAATTCCGGAAGTTCAAAAAGTTCTTCAAGAAAGCTGACTCAGTCAGAAGGCCATCCAAGGGAAAGCCACAGGTAAGTGACTCTCCTCCTGAATCTTATTTGTGTTACAATTGCAGGAAGCCTGGCCACTGGAAGTCAGCGTGCCCGTACCCAAAAGTGGAGAAGTACGGAGAAAGAGAAAGGATTGAGAAGAAAAAGAAGGCAATGGTTGCTGCTGAAAGTGACGAGTCATCCAGCTCAAGCTCGGATGAAGAAGCTCTCATCTGCATGGAGCACAGAGCTGAAAAGTCCAACCATGAGGATAGGTGGACTATGTCAGAAGATGACATTCTCTGCCTAATGGCCAAAGATGATGCTGATCAAGAGGTAACCTCACAAACCTCTTGCTCATCTTCTCATGAAAGCATACCAACTTCTGAAAATCTTTTTGACCAGTTCAAAAAGATGATGAAAGACTTTGAGGAGATAAATCTCAAACATTCTTCCTTAACAGAGGAGAACAAATTATTGAGTGAAGAGAATCTCAAGTTGACTGAAGGTCGGAAAAGTCAACTGAATGAGATCACTCAACTCAAGACTAAAAATGAATCTCTCTCTGAAAAAGTGAAATCCCTTAACAAAGAACTAGGGACTCTTAAGTCCAAAGAAGCAGTGAATAAGCTTCTTGAAACGACCAAACATAAGGGTCGTGAAGGACTTGGGTTTAACCCCTCCAATTCTAAAAGGAAAGGGAAAACAACTTTCATCCCTCCCAAACCTACTGCTAAACCAAATAAGCAGAAAGGGAAGGAAAAAGAAAAACCAACAGAAGTTCCCAAAAAGGTAGTCCCTCCTAAGAACTATAGGAAGCTGGACAGACCTCAAAAAGGAAATAATTTCAGAAGAAAACCTTCTAACCCCCATTATACACGGGGCTATACCCATTATGGGGTACACAGGAGTTTTCCAAGAAATTCTGAGTGAAGAACTATGCCAAGATATAGTCATCCTTCACCCCAGAAGCTATTTGTGCCACCTAAGTATGCTTATAACCGACACAGGGCACACTATGCACAACCTAGACAAAATTATAGGTCTTATCAACCTAGGTTTGCTAGGAGGAAACAGGAAATAACACCTCCTGCACGTAGGAAGTTTTATGCCTACAACTATGATTACAATCCCAACAAGTTTAGAGCTGCAAGGAAAATTCCCTGCAACTTCAAACTTGATGTAGGGACACACACCTTTAACTACTCCGGACCCAAACTTAATTGGGTACCAAAATCTTCCTCCTCCTAATGCAGGAAGCCACTAAGTACCCAGGTGTCTGGTACTTAGACAGTGGCTGTTCAAGACACATGACGGGTGATGCGAGCCTTTTGAGCAATCTAATTCCCTATGATGGTCCAAGAGTTACTTTTGGAGGAAGCAATGATTT